AAAATGAACATAAGGAATAGAAAATAGAAGAATAATATATAATTGTCATTCAGTGGAAATGATAACAAGTGTCCTTTTGCATTTTGTTTTCTTAGACATGTTCATTTTATAGGGGTGTGTACCAACAGGTGTGACTGTGTGCGTGTTGGTGTATGCATGTGTATGGTGTCAATGCGGTGCGTTTTCTTTCATCACATGCCAACTTCACTCGCCTGTCTCTCTCTCTCTCCGTGCGCAGGTGTCCTCGTTCTTCATACTCATGGACCTGCTCTATAAGCACGAGCTTTACCAGGAAGTGCTCGACACTTACCAGCTGCTACGCGGGCGTGAGCTGGAACGCGCACGCTACCCGCGCGACTGCATCATCCTCTGCCTCGCCGCCTGCTACCGCATGGACACGCCCGCTGCGTACGAGTGGGCGACGGCGTTGGCGCGCGAGTGCGGCGAGACGGGCCGGCCGATGCCGCGCCGCGCCATCGCCTTCCTCGCGATGCTCGCGCTGAATCGCGGCGACCCCGCAGCCGCGCTCGAGGTGCTCTTCACGCTGCGCGAGGTCAACTACATCACGACGCGCAACCTGAAGCTGATAGCGCTCGCCGACCTGGACCGCGTCGACGAGGCGCTGCCCGTGCTGCGATACGTCATCGAGCGCGACGTGCCCGAGACGGCGACGCGCCGCGGCCAGGAGGTGTGCGCGACGACGCTCGCGCGCGTGCGCGCCGCCGTGGAGCGCGCGCAACGCGAGGAGCTCACCGCGCAGTTTTCGCACCTGGAGAGGGCGCTAGCGGAGGGCGACCACGTCGCGAAAGTGGACATTGCCGAGATCGTGACGACGCCGATACTCGAGCGGAGGCCGCCGCCGCAGCAGCGTCAGGATTATCAGCCGAGTGGCGCGTACAACCAGCGCTACCGCTCGCAGGCGCGTGGGCAGGGTTACTATGATCGCCAGCAGCATGACCGTCCGGGCCTGTCCGATCGATACGACACATAATGATGCCGTATGGGTGACAGATACGACACGCAGTGATGCCGTATGGGTGACAGATACGACACGCAGTGATGTAAAATTCTAGATACCTATAGACACATGTCTTAGCTATACTCTCTGTGAATATTGAGTTTATTGACGCACGATTAGTCAATATATTAGCAAATATATGCGTACCGTAATCTCCCGTACCGGCCTGAATATAGACACTCCCAATGACAGCTGTAGCAGGGTTGACGCTTAATGATACCGGCTTAGTTAATATCATGGTTGTATCATGTCTCTGACGTCATAATGACGTCAGCCGCTGCTTACTACACATGTACGCGGGTAAGCAAAAACGCTCTGACAGTTCACATGTACCGTTATATGGAGAAATTAGCATGTACACAGGTGGCACATAGTGTTAGCCATCGAATAAAGTTGAAAACGAAAAATCGATGAAATTTCATGCACAACGTGGAGAGTATCCTTAACACATCGTTGTGTTATTCCACTTGTAGCTCTAGTGCAGCATGCATGTTTACACCTAGCAATAACCATCAACGTTACACTAGGGTCATTTCATTGCATTCGGAACCATAACTCTGCCTAACACGAAACGACACACTGTCGTTTATTTACATACAAGTGATCGCGAAGAATTTGCAATATCACTATTATCAAGAGCTAATAAATAATAATAATAATAATAATAATAATAATAATAATAGTGGTATTTATTAGCTCTTGCTATTATACTAATACAATGTATCTATACAAGCTATACGCGCAAACATATACATCGGGCTAAAGTTGACTTCCAGGTGAGATTACGTAATATGAGCACAATTACGAGGGGTGCTATCCACTATAAAAAAAAATTTGTATGTGCGCAGCACCAAATTAACCACCATGTAAGGAGAAGACCTCCCAATTCATAATCGCACGATAAAAGCATATCAGAGACAACTTTCCTAAATAGAGAGAGAGGGGGATAGAGTGTGAGATGGAGAGGGAGAGGCAGAAGGAAAATGAGAGGGAGGGGAGAGGGAGAGAGAGAGAGAGAGAGAGAGAGTGAGAGAGAGCGAGAAAGAGAGAGAGAAAGAGAAAGAGAGAGAGAAAGAGAGAGAGAGAGATAGAGAGCGCGCGCGAGAGCGATCGAGAGAACTCGCCAACTCAAAACCGTAAGTTAGTGGAATGAGAGTTGACTGTACCTGCATGTGAGTAATGGGCCCTTATTTACTCCTCCGGCCCCTGCTACTTACAAGTTACTACACACTAACAACCCAAGTACATCCATTACCGAGCGACAATCAACCTCCTTGTGCGATGATGACAGGTCCTAGCATTACGTGCCCGAGCACGGCGTACCTGTTCCCGCTGCTATACCTGCTAATCACCAATAATATCTGTTATCTCTCCGCAACACACAGCTGGTCCTAGCTGCTGAGTATAATATAGTAGTCATTCTCCCTCACTCGTTCGTTCGACATTCCAGCGCCGCTAAAAGACGCCTAGGTAGAGCGAGCGTCACGCTAAAATTCACACAACCAGTATCAATTATTAATGGTTTCCACTGAAGTCGAAGATCGAGTCGTAAAAAACACACAATGCGGTCGCGCAGTGGCATCCAGATTTTGGTGCATGCAGCAGTATTATAAGTAAGAAACTAAGAATAGAATGACATTCAATGCATGACGTGTGACAGGTCGATCGATCGATCTCCGATCACCTGCTAATGCCGCTATATGTACCTCGTTCGCTGATGCAACTACAGCCTATTGCCAGGACCGACAACCGACAGACGGGCACCAAAAGATATAGCTATCATATTGCTTGCGATGGGTATTACGTATGGCTAGGAGCTAATGCCTTATTATTACCTTATAAGTTATTATTAGCTATTGGTATGATTGAAATCGCCCGGCCTTTATTGCAGTACCCATATCTACTAGATAATTATCCGCGTATGTACAGCATGTAAGATGGTGCTCAAAACATAGACCCCACCCTAACACAGACCATTCAGCCCGCGGATAAGGGATGGAAGTAATCCTTCCTGACAGCAACACTCTACACCTGTCTATTCCGCGAGTGATACAGTCATTCTTGGGAGAGCGGGCATATCGTTCGTACAGGCGTGTCATCGTGAGAATCGCCTGTGGAATGATGCTAGCGCACGAACAACACTCGCGAAGATTACATCTATAGCGATCAATGAATCGAGTCCATGATTAATCACCATGTAAGACAAATGCCGAGTAGAGCAAAGAAGACGTACAAATCACCCAGCGAGGGTATCTCACAGATATATTTATCGATAATCGCCTTCAGATTTTCGGTACGAATAAAAATGTGTTCCAGTTAGATAACTACACTCTAGCCGTCCGCAGCCTATCAAATGCTTCACCTGTAGCAGTAACCGCAATGTAACGACGCAATATGCACATACGGTATGGTAACACAGGCACGCACGGCGCCGTGCCCATAACAATAAATAAATATATGTCAGCGACAGTGGGTAAACTTGATAAGTGCCGTAAATAAGTTAACCGTGAGATGCCGCGACAGTGAGCATGGAAAGCCGGCGTGTATGGCTGAAAGAAACAGAGCAGCAGCAACAGCATCGCCGGCGGCGGCAACAGCATCAGCGGTAGCGGCCTGGAGGAAGGAGACACCGCCACTGTAACAATACCTAACTTTAAACTACACGCGTGCACCATGCAGTGGGCATCCTTGACCGAGAAATCGTATAGTCGTCAATAGTACAGTCAATTGTATAGTCGAGTATAGGCATCAATGACGATGAATGCGTGACGCCGACACTACATCGGTCCTCGCTGCACACGCTGCTCTAGTCCTCTACTAAAAGTCCCCATCATCGTTGATTCTTAGCGGTTCAAAGAGATAGCCTAACAGTAGGGTGCCATGAACAATTGTATTCAGACTACATGCTGCTCAGACTATATATCGGATGTTCTTTATGATATTTCTAATCCACTCCTCATTCTGTTGCCACAAAGAGCCGTTTGAAATATACGCCTCAAGTAACTTTAGGTACGTCGCTATACAGTCTCGAGTTAGAAACCCCCAACGGATGCAGCATGCATTACCTCAGAGCTAACCTATAATACACGTGCATGTCTATCTACGCATTACTCCGCCAGCAAACATCACCAATAATCACACGTTCAATAATAGTGACCGAAGTGTCACCGAACTTTTGATCGCACCCCGTAGATACTTTTTTTTTTTTTACTTAACCACTATCAATGGACAATGTATTTACACATATAACGCGGTACACATACAATGTACCACTATAGTGGTTACCTATAGGGCAAGGCAATAATACCACATCCACGTTGTACATTATATTTCTGGCGGTTGGTAGAGGGACCGCTAGGTAGAAGTGTACAGTGAACGTTATGTCGCACGTGCTGTGAAGGGGGTAGGGTGTTGTATAGATAGGGTCAGTAATCAATAAAGAGATGAGGGGTAGAGTAAATGACGGGGTGTTCCCGAAAGGAATTGAGCCCTGAAATGAACTTTGGTGCCAGCCGAAATCTATACGATGGCAAAAGACATCGTAGACGAATGGGAAATGGACGGAGACAACTGCATTAATTGTACATAGAGTCAATCACATTTGAGTAGATATAAAATTACTGAGTTACTTCCCAAAGATTTCGCAAACCCCTAGGGGCCCGAGTCCAAACCTCGAGGCCCCTAATCTTATTCTCAGACTACATCACGCGACGTACCGGGGAGATAATGGAGAGAAGGGAGGAAGGAAAAGCGAGGCAAGATGGGAGAAAGGGGCAGAAGATGAGTAGGGGGCGGAGGGATAGGCGTGGGAAGAGTGGTGGGGGAAAAGGGAGGAAGGGGACGACTATGCCGAAATTGAGAGAGAGAGAGATAAAGAGGAGAAAGAGAGAGAGAGAGAGAGAGAGAGAGAGAGAGAGAGAGAGAGAGAGAGAGAGAGAGAAAGAGAGAGAGAGAAAGAGAGAGAGAGAGAGAAAAACAAAGAGCAGACACTCGTGGAATCCCCTGCCCGATGGCACCGTTGATTGCTAGCCAAACACATTGATCACATGCAAGGCTAGACGTAGAGTATCCGTACAGGTGCCTATACAAAGGGACTCAACCCAATGCGCACGGCACACGCACACAACAATGGCTGCGAGCGCAAATTAGGGTCAAGGAACGGAGAGCGGCTGTAAAAGGAGGAAGATCTTCACGGCCGGGGGAGATTAACTGACTATAGATGGATTTACGGCACTTTCTCTTCGCCGCGCCGCAACTGCACGCACTAGCAGGCGCCGCGGTCTACAGTATCTAACTGTAGCGATGTTCTCAGTAAGGAGATTCTAGTTGAAGTAAAGCTTTGCGTAACATGGCGTCTGCAGTTTTGTTGTATAACACTTCAGAGGACGTACAGAGTAAGACTCGAGACGAGACGGCGATGGATAGGAGCATAGACTTCCATATCGTTTTCATCTGAAAATCCGCACATAATATCTCTTTGCATCGCGCCGCGCGTCATCAGTCACGTGATGCGTAACCTCTCCATCAACATGAATTCACCCTGCTCGAGCGGCCGGCTTGAGATCCATTGCCAAACCTCAGTACAGAAACCACAAGACCATTGATCTAAAAGTGAAAGTACAATAAGTAGACTAAAACTACATTTGCCGGCAACGTAGGTCGATATAGTCATTCTGAAGCCAAACTGTCGTCGAAGGAAAAACTCTCGATAAACGACAGACGAGGAATATCACGTGACGCGCTGCATAGCAGAAGAGATAAAGATATAAAAATGGGCACAGATGAGGACAGGGCAAGCGGCTTTAATCAATCAATAAGAGCAAATTAACATAAAAGTACAGCAGAGAAGCCAGCAGCAAGAAGAGTAGGCCTACTGTAGTTGTTATCCAACCATGAACGTCTGCTAAAGCGATAGCGTATTATAAAACAACCCGCACGACGTGCCGGGACGCGAAATTTTTTTCCCCACGAGAGTTCCGGACCCACCACAGATAGTGTTTTGTAATATATGGTGTCTATATAAGACGGACCTGGTTGGATTATAGTTAGTGTTAGGGTTAGGGTTAGGGTGTATAAATTTTACATTGTTGCTTCGAGGAAGTCGAGTGAAATGGAGTGCGCTGATTGGCTGGGGTCCGGAACTCTCGTGGGGAAAAAAATTTCGCTGCCGGGACCCTGCATCCCTCAACCACATTTGAGTTTACACTGGTACTTCTCTAAAACCCTACGACCAGCCCGCTTCAGGGTTACAGTTGCCAACATCCGCACCAAGGCTACATGCTGACATATGCACCGAGACATATCTACCACATATATGCAGCATATGAAAGGCTGCAAAGGCACTGCCACCACACACCACTACTAGCAGTGATCGAGCTGCTATAACCTGGCCAGCAATTCTATTCTCCACAATATGACTCCATAGAGTCCATTCACTATAGCTGCAAGCTGCACCACTCTGTGTATTCTGTACATCCTCATCAATCAAATATCCTAATTCTGCGCGTACGTGACTGATGCGAGGAAGAAATGTGTAGGCGGGCTCTATCGCACGCACTGGGTAGCTCCAGGCTAATGGATGTACTGTGACTTGATCAAACAGTATCATCCAGATTAATCTCCCCGACAAACTACAAAGACGTGAAAGAATGTCGCCTTGCCTTGAGTCACGGTTAAAGATTCCAACGAAATGAGAATGCGAATTGCACGCGGCGTGAGGGCTGGTGAAGCTTTTATGGGGCTTGTATAGTTCTGTACCTGTGTGCGATTACATTAAGTATTCGTCGTTATTTGATATAAGACACTGGGGGTATTTAACAGAAGATTGAAGACTATATGGCACCTAAAATAAGATATGTAGCGAAATTTGATTCGACTGCTAAAACTCTAACCTTGCAAGTATAAAAGTATATAGGTAACCTGACCAGGGCTCTACGACTGTACAAACACAGTTTTACAAGCAATGACAACATGACAGAGATGGTCAGTTATGACGATACATGCAGTCATTGTCTCATATAGCCACGGAGCTGCTTTATCAGTCTTTCTATTAGCTTGCAGAAGATCACGATGAGGTATTTCAAGAATGTTTATTCACAATATTTTCATGACACGCACTGGTGAGTCGGCGACCATTGGGTACAAAGGCATTCTTACTTCCTGGCACGTACCTTACCTACTGGCATACGTGAATTCATTGTACCTTTGGCACTACTTGCAGAAAGAGAGCATTTCTCAGTTATGGTAGACATGGGAACTCAAGCAGAAAGGTCAACGAAATCCCGTGGATACAGTAGCTTTGACAGACTAATGTCAGACAGACTAATGTACAGACTATGTCATGTACCATTGTAACATTCTTTATAAATATAAATTACAGGTAGTTGCTTTTTTTCCTGCGACATACCTAAACCGACTAATGTTATGAGTGTACACAGGAAATATATTGTAAGGGCACACACCCTAGTGCTGTCATCCACTATTATGTCTACGTATATATATATACTCGCATACATACACTGCTTTTGTTATCACAGGCACCGATGCGTGCGTGAATGAGTGTTACATCTTCCAGCAATAACGGTAGAGGAGTATTCGGGTATATAAGGCTGGTTGATTAGAATGCGCAATCAACTGCAGTAAATTTGTACACCAACACCGAAGTGTCTGTTCTTCAGTTAAAAGATTTTGTTGTGCACCCCATTTGTACCAACAGCGACTGTGACTGGAGCAGTGAGTTGAAATAGTACAACATACAATTTTTTTTTCCTATGAACAAAGACTAGAGAAACTAAGACTTATAACACTGGAACAGAGAAGACTAAGAGGAGACCTTATTGAAACTTTCAAACTAATGAATGGCTACGAATTAATTGACCCAACAAAATTCTTTACAAGATCCGAATACAACAGTACTCGTGGCCATAGCCTCAAATTGTTCACTCCGCGTGCACGACTAGAGTTAAGGAAGCATTTTTTCAGTTTTAGAGTGATAAATCACTGGAATAACCTGTCAGAAGAAGCAGTACAAGCTAAATCTATTAACTCTTTCAAACGCCATGTGGATGAATATGTAAGGATGGGGGTTTATACAAGACAGTAGTCTTCCTACCCTTCGATCCACTCCAAACCTACAGGTTAGGGGTGGAACCAGGTAAATCAGGTAAACAGTATATACTATATACGTAACAGCGACGCAACAGTATTGACAGAACAGGCACGGTGGGCATTGGCTGCAGTAGGCAGCAACTGAGGCAAGCATGTGACTAAGGAAGGCAGTGACTCAGGCAGGCAGGGGGTAGTGACTCAATTAGGTGGATAGTGACTGAGGCGGGCAGTGGGTATAGTGACTTAGGTGGATATAGTGACTGAGGCAGGCAGTGACTGACGTGGGCAGTGACCGGGGTGGGCAGTCTTCAGAGTGGAATGCAGGATGTGGTAGATGCCAATATTATTCAGAGTATGAAATGAGACAGACTACCACGATAACGCATGCACCTCCCATACATGATTTAATATAACTGTCATTTTCGCTTGACACAGTAGGGACGACATTACTTCCCTACCTTGCAAATGCACCACAAGTCACCGCACACTCACCCATCTCCCGGTATCTCGCGCAGACACAGACCCATCGTCATCAGCTGGTTGGCAAACTTCACAAAGTTGTTGTCGTCGTCAAAGTACGACCACATGCCGCCGAGTTTCACCGCCCGCTCGCGCCTGTGTGCCGATTTAATGCTCCTCTCTTCGCGCTTCCGTGCCATATCACAGAGCCTCTGTTGCTTGTGGACGACGACCCTCTCTCGCTCCTTTTTGCCGGACATGGAGTCGCTCACAGATGTCCCCCGGCGACGACAGCGAACGCGCTGCTAGTCTGGTGGCGAGAAACGAGAGAAGCAAACGTTGGCGACTTGCGGGACAAACCAATGCACAATGGTGGAGCGAGGTGACGGAACTACACGGCAGCTATACTCTGTGGCTTAGAAAACCTGTGCGCTGGCTTGCCCCCCACGTGGTCACTGAACCGTGGTGCGGGTGCCACGAGTGGGCATGCGATTAAATGTCGAGCCGAGCGAAATGTGCGAAGCGAAATGTGCACGCTGCCCTGTGGAACAGGTTCTACATTTGGCACACAGCGTTTGAAATGAGATCACCAGCGATGGCAGTGGTGAATATGCAATTTCCTTCAAGGAGAATAGATTCGAAGGAAGTCATTAATGGGTGACTATATATGAGCTTGGGGGAAAACTAGTTTTAGTGCTACTTTCCATTATGGCATACCGCGCTGTGATGCAATTCATCACCAATTATACAGGGCCAGAGTTTGATCAATGCTTTGCTTTCACTTATCATATACGTTTCGTTATATATTCGTTATATATTTATTATTATTATTATTATATTTATTATTAATTACATATTCGTTATATATATTCGTTCATGATACACGTTACTCCAAAGGATGAGTAGTAATAACAGTAGAGTTCCTTGCCCGTGGCCGAACACCATACGAGCACCACGGACAACGTTAACAACATTGGGAACTCGCGGTTTTACAGCGTTAAAGCCACGTTATATATCAACTTAACTGCCAATTCAATTTTGCATGCCAGAATATTCAAATTTACCATACTTTCATGGAAATGTGTATGATACTTCGTTTTGAAGATACTATACAGACCTTTACAGACATTTTGTGTATACAGTTATCTGTACGACATATATGCATATAAATGTAAACTACTGTGGAGATCCAAATTCCAAATACATATATGCATAAATTATGGCTGCTATACAACTATAATAAGAGCGGCATAGATTATCCAAGATGAATGCAATAGGCTACAAGAGGAGCTATCCAAAATATTTGCATTTAAAAACTGTTCACCATAAACAAGTTCCACCAGGGCCAGTGCCTTTGTCTCACATCATAAATATATATTATATGCTTTACTTACACAGGGAAAAAGTAACACCCTAGCCACGGCCTCTTTAAGTGTGTACAACGAGATTCCATGGATCATCGCGGATAATGTCAATGACACTTATTTATAAGAGGTACAAGCACATAAAAAAATGTGCTATGTAAATTTTATAATGTGCTATGATGAACAATAGCCCATAAGGTGAGACAAAAGCCAAATTCAAGTATAGGCAGCAGCGCACTATAAGAGACATATCCTCATAAGTCAATCAATGGTTCACAGCAGCAATAGGGGAATGACAGAGTGCTATCAGCTTCATCATGGCGTCAGCAGCAGGTGTTGATGCACACGTCTCTTGAAGGACAGAACACCGTTGTTGCTGATCTCTCCAACTACGCTGTCTGGTAGGTTGTTCCAGACATGGACTGCAGTGTGGAAGAACCTCGATCCTGCCAGTAGAATTGGTCCTTGAGATGGGTTCTGTGAGAGCGTGACTCGGCACTGACAGACTATAGAACGAGTTGACCGTCTAATCACATAAGGATGAGGAAGCATCACCTTCATGTCTGGAGGGCACAGCCTGATGTGCATCTTATAGAGGACAGTTGCAGCAGCTACCTGACATCTATGTTGAAGAGAGGGGTTGTTCAGTTTCAGTCGTGCCGTCCGTGCCGATAATGCGTAGAGCTTTACTCTAGATGTAGTCAAGTAATCTTAGTATAGTGGGCAAGGAAATAGTGAGAAACAGTCAAAACCAGGTGTGTACCCTCGGTTAAAGGACGTTTTGTCCCGCCTTTCTGACAACAAATGACATATTTCTTGCTAGAATTTTTTTTCACAAAATTTATTCAAAAAATTTAACTAAATTAATTTTTAATTTAGTGTACTTTTTAAAGACATTGACGAAAGTTAAGATATGGTGGTTTAAGTTAAAAATAAAAAATAAAAATAAACGGGTAACATATCCCAGTTAGCCTACTCCCATTTCGTCTACTGTCAGAATCGGCAATATTCCCATTTCGTCTTGTTTTTGTCCATTTTTGTCAAGTTGTGTTCTCATTATTTGTACCTATATTTTCTTCTGGTTCCTATGTATGCCAACCATATTTTATTATTTATAAATGATTATTTAGTGAACAAACCGATCCGCGATCGTAGACGAAATGGGAATAGGGTAGATTTTAGTGTAGACGAATTGGGAGTAGGCGAAATGGGTGTAGGCCAACTGGGAATTTTGCTGTAGGCAAAATGGGAATTTTGCCATAGGCGAAATGGGCTCGTAGGCCAACCGGGAATAAACCCTACCATTTAAACGCTACTCTGACAGACAGGCACTTGGAACGTTTCAATAAAAAAAAAAGTAAATAAACACGAAATGTATTTTTAATTTTACTACCAAATTCTACTCTATTTCACCTAAAATCATTACCTGTACATGCAAAATGCTCAGCTGCAACACACAAGTACACCACACGCTAGCTGCTGCACACTGACACATAAATATATATATACATACAAGCTGGTATTATTTCTCTGGCAGCCGGAGAAGCAGCGGTGAAAACAATTGTTAGTTCTCCGGCCGCTGGAGAATTAAGAACAAATTTTCTTGTTAGATATCCGGCGCCGGAGAAACAGATGTACGTTTTCAGCACTGCTTCTCCGGCTTTGCCGTAGAAGCAGTGCTGAAAATCATAGTTAAATTCTCTGGCAGACTGAAGTGTCCGGCCGCCGCTGTATTCCGCCTGTGAGCCGCCGCCGCCATCCAGTCGCTGCAACCCTAACCCTTACTTCAGGTTTGGACGTTATGGTTTTATGGTTTGGTTATGGTTTGCGCAGCGGCAGAGTCTGCTTTTTGCCGGAGAAGCTAGTTTGATTCCTTGGCTTAGTTGTCCGGCTTGCCGGGAAAATAATCACTTCGATACATATATATATTCAGGGTTCGCCAAGCTTTTTCATTATAGCATGGCGGGGCTGCCTTTACGGTCCTAGTTTTAGCATTTTTTAGTAAATTTTAGCATGGCGGCTATGATATTTAGAGTGGCGGCCGGGTGCATTTTAGGATGGTGGGGCTCGTCGATAGCCTGGCGAGCCGCCAGGCTATGTGCTCTTGGATAACCCTGATATTTGTCAGTGTGCAGCAGCTAGCGTGCTCCAGCCAACGTGTGAGTGTGTTGCAGATGAGCATTTGGACGGCATTTACAGAAAATTGTCGGCAATAATAGATGAAAGTGAGTAGAGAAACATTACGACGTTGGTAGTAAATAGATTTCGTATTTATTTAGCATTAATCCATTATATTTTATTGAAACGCTCCAAGTGCCTGTGCTTTGACCAGGGTTCTTATAGAATTTAAGTCTACAAGTACAACACATTGAAGAACAGAATATTTTTGTGTTACACATGCACAAATATGAATTGAATAAGTAAACTGTAAATGTAATTACTTCTTTATCAAGTTTATGGTCCGGAACCATGAAACTTGCGCTAGTGATAACGGCGCCAATATTACGGCTCCATAAGTTACTAACATAGATATATATACATATTATATCTCTATGGAAGCATTACTCGAAGGAAAGAAAATCATCAAATTGGGAAGGTGTGGATGGTGTTTCTGTTGTCGCACGCTGCCAGGTAGACTGGTCCGCGCTCAACAGTTCCACTCGCGTTACACAGACGTTACTCAATGTAACGCGAGTGGAACTGTCGAGCACGTACCAGTCTAGCTGCCAGGTGTAAACAAAATCTATTGTGTGATTGGCTTAGATTAGAAAACCAGACACCATATACTGATATAGTCACACGTACGGTACGAGTATAACTACTATTAGTTATATGGTTTCTAAAATACAGTGTCTCGTTTAATTTATCTGCTATGATAGGCAATTTAATTAGATTATTAACTTTATTTCTTTTATAGATTTGATCTGACCTCGGCGGCTGGTTTTGTTTCTAACCGATCGGCGATCGGCATTCGTCAAGATGGCAGCCGTTATTCGACATGTGTTTTCTTTAAGTTGTAGTAGTGTAGGTAAAATATTTAATAAATGCCGTCCGACGGCATTGATTCAATGCCGAACGTTGTATGGACATCAGTACACTGGACTCGATGGCTTCGAGTAAGAAATAAAATCAACAGCGTATTAAGTATGACTATGAGATTGAGAGCGTACAGTACAACGCCGTCGCCACAGTGAAATGCAACAATCATGATTTACCATGTTACTGTTAGTGTTAGCTCTAGTACTATAGCCCGCTTAAATTAACTGCCGCTGGCTACTATAGCCGGCTTACATTAACTGCCGCTGGCTACTATAGCCCGCTTACATTAACTGCCGCTGGCTACTATAGCCCGCTTACATTAACTGCCGCTGGCTACTATAGCCCGCTTACATTACTGTTTACATAATGTAAGCGGGCTATGCTGGTATAGTACCGTACTACTACTACTAGAACACGCGATTACAACCGATTGGTTATAATACAAACCACGTGATAAAATATGCAAATTATTTCCTGTACCGACCTGAATATAGACAAACCCAGGCCCACATGGTTGTAGCTCTAGTAGTAGTAGTAGTACCTCCACCACCTTCTCCCTTCTCCCCTTCCTCCTCCTTCACCATCTTCTTCACAGCTGGAAGTGACGTCACGAAAGGAGGAGGGGAGAAGCTGGTGGAGAAGGAGGAAGGGGAGAAGGGAGAAGG